TCGTCCATACCCAGCAGCCTTTCAATATTAAACTTATGCTTCTAAAATATGGGTCTACGAATTATTATCGAACTATGATTAAAATTTTATATAAACAATTGTTTATTAGTAATACTACCCGGAAGGATCTACGATTGAAATTGAGTCACCAATTTCAAAAGGGTTTTATTTGCTCCCACCCAGTTGAGGCATCCCCCAGGGATGTTAATCCTCAACCAGGATGGCGTGGGGCCTCCCGATAGCGGGTTCCCACTTCCTGTGTAGGACAGCACTGTCCATCTCCACAGAAATACAGAATTACACCAAGCATTACTTATAGTGGTTCTGTAGCCATACTACTGTTACCAGTGCCAATTAGGCAACAGTAGTTGAGAGCCGGCCTTAAGATATCCCTCCCATTTTTATAATTTAATAATTTTGTTTATTTTTCTAATTTTAATTCTAAAATTTAGTTCTGAAATTCATTTAAATTTTAATTGAATTTTTATTCTAATTTTAATTCTGAAATTTATTCTTATTCTAATTCTCAAATTTATTCTGATTTTTAATTCTGATGTGAATCTAAATTTTATACTGATTTTATTCTAATTTAATTCTGATTTTTATTCTGATTTTTATTCTAATTTAATTTTGTTTTTATTGTTAGTTTTAATTTTGATTTTTATTCGATTTAATTTTGGTTTTTAGTCTAATGTGTTTGACTATTACAGCATTTGAACTTTACTCGTCTATCCTCGCTAAAAGTAAGTTGTGGTTTTTAGTCTTTACAAATGTCAACATCAAAACATTTCAAAAATTTGATCATATGTAAAAAAAATTGACAAATGTCAAAAATGTTCACAAATGTCAAAATCAAATGTCAATCTCATATGTAAAATATTTAAAAATGTCAATAGATTTTCACTAATGTCAAAACAATTCAAAAATTTAATCATATTAAAAAAATTTGACAAATGTCAAAACATGTTCACAAATGTCAAAATCAAATGTTAATCACATATATCAAATATTTACGAATGTCAATAGATTTTCACTTATGTCAAAACAATTCAAAAATTTGATCATATGTAAAAAAATTGACAAATGTCAAAAATGTTCACAAATGTCAAAATCAAATGTCAATCTCATATGTAAAATAATTACAAATGTCAATAGAATTTCACTTATGTCAAAACAATTCAAAAATTTAATCATATGTAAAAAATTTGACAAATGTCAAAACATGTTCACAAATGTCAAAATCAAATGTCAATCTCATATGTCAAATAATTACAAGTGTCATTAGATTTTCACTAATGTCAAAACAATTCAAAAATTTTTCCTTATAGTTTTGTGATATCTACATATTATTTGGCCAATTCTTATGATCTAAAATCGCACTTCCTGTTTATATTATTCATTAATTTTACTCAAAATCAAAAAATTATTTCAGTTGTTTATAAGGCAGAGAACATCACCTAAATGCCCATAAAATTAGCGTCGGGAAATTAACGACCTACATCTGTCTTACTAATATTTTCTCAAATACAAGATCCAATTTATCTTACAGCAAATTTTAAGGGCTTTCGAATGAGCCCAAAATGAAAATTTATAACCATCCTTAAGGGGCCGAAAATATTTCTTCAATAGCCTTACCCCCAATTTACGTTGATTTTCGAGGTTCTAAATCTCGACACTGAAGTGAGATATGCTCGAATTCTTTTATAATTTTTCTTAGAATCGATAAATATGTTAGCTCAAATTTTTGTAGATTTTTCTTAATGTTAGAAACACGAAATTTCAAAGTGCGTCTATCATTTCCTGACACGCATTTATCAGAAAATTGAACATAAAATTTTTTTATAAATAGTTAGGAAATTTTTCTTCGTTATATTCATTTAAGCATTTAAAATGATATAATAGGAAAAATTTATACAAAAATATCATTATCTAAAGCGAGATAATAGCAAAAATATGGGTGCGTCTATCTTTTTCTGACACAGTCTGAATTGATGAAATTTAAGGGATATCCGTTGATTGGTTTAATATATTGACATACCAATTTAGAAATGGTACATTAACTGAACTTGGAAAAAATTTAAAAAAAATTTAAACCGGGTTGTTGAAACGGAGTGTATGTTATGTCCTAGGGTAGCGGTCTTACCTAGTGACAAACAGACTAACACAGGAATAGAATATAACGTTTATCCGAATGGCAAATACAACAATAATGAAGGTGGCAAAAGGCAGAATGAAGAAGGACAGACGGCGTCGGTCGACCCAGGTGTCGACCAAGACTGATCTCTAACGACTCCTTTTATACTAGACCCACACATACCTAACAGTGTATATCAGGGATGTTAAGTTTTGAGAAAAAAGTCGGGTCGGTTTGGGTTTCAAAACATTCTTCGGATCGGATCTCTGGCCGTAGAAAGTCAAGTAAATGGTCTAGGGATCCGGGCAACCCATGACATCAGTCCTGGACTTTATGAGAAAAATGAAGGAAGAAGCTTGATTATATTTTATTGTGAAAAAAATGATTTACTTCCCAAAAAATATTTTTTGTGTTTACAATATTTAAAAATTATTTTTTGTAAATATTTTTGTTTGTTCTACAATTTGATTAAAATTCAAAAACTAAAAATTTCAGCTGGTTTAAAACGTGAACTCTATAAAATTTGCATAAATTCAAACAAAGCACCGAACATAAACAATAATATTTTTTATTTTAATTTGCACACTGGAAAACAATTAAATCTTTTTATTATTTGTTGGAAAATTAATTCAAAAACATGTTTAGTACACCAAGTTTAAGGATATATAAACTAGGCAGATTCAACAGTTTCTCAGAATCTTTTAGATTTAAAAAATAATTTAAAGTCCTTCAAATACAATTGTTTGGTTAACTTGAAATCATGGTAAATAAATTAATTTTAAAATTTAATTATCATTATTAGTAAATTACACATAAAATTTAGGCTTTGATTAATCATTATAAATTCCCAAAAAATTTTTATTTAATTGAGTAGGGTTAGTGGCTCATGGGGAACCTCTGATATCCATAATCAAATCAAAAAGCTAAACTGAAAAACCATCGGCTCTTTGGTTCGATTCCGAATCGACAACCCTATTATTCAGGCCCGATTGAATTGAAATATTTAACTGAAACTTCTTTAACTTCGAAAAACAATATTACAAACATAAATTTAAGCTTTAAGAAATTATTGCAATAATTTTTAAATTTTCTTGATGATTTCTATAAATGATATAACCTTAATCTTATAATTTAAGAATAATTTTCTCCAACTTGTGGTGGCTATCGCCATTTTTATGACCCTGACTTTCAATGGAGTATTCGCCGGAGGTATAATTTATTAGCTAACCTATAAGATAAATTTAATTAAATAAAATTAAGATAACTGTACTGATGGAGAGGAATTCATAGCCTGTTTTACTTCTTGTGAGGCAAAATGTGAAAACCTTGGGCATGATGACTGTAAAGAAATCATCGATTGTAATTCAGGAGGCAAATGCCAATGTATATCAGGATATGCTCGTGACGCAACTGGTTGTTGTATCCCGAAAGAAAATTGTCCCATACAAACTACAACGAAACTGCCTTATCAAACATCGACAGCGCAAGCTGCAAGTGAATCCAATGAAAATACCAAGAAGCCTGGGGGGTCAAGTGAATCCAACTCCAATGAAAATACCAAAAAGCCTGGAGCATCAAGTGAATCCAACTCCAAAGAGAATACCAAGAAGCCTGGAGCTTCGAGTGAATCCAATGAGAATACGAAAAAGCCTGGAGCATCAAGTGAATCCAACTCCAAAGAGAATACAAAGAAGCCTGGAGCCTCGAGTGAATCCAATGAGAATACAAAGAAGCCTGGTGCATCAAGTGAATCCAACTCGAAAGAGAATACCAAGAAACCTGGAGCATCAAGTGAATCCAACTCCAAAGAGAATACCAAGAAACCTGGAGCATCAAGTGAATCCAACTCCAAAGAGAATACCAAGAAGCCTGGAGCATCAAGTGAATCCAACTCCAAAGAGAATACCAAGAAACCTGGAGCATCAAGTGAATCCAACTCCAAAGAGAATACCAAGAAACCTGGAGCCTCGAGTGAATCCAACTCCAAAGAGAATACCAAGAAGCCTGGAGCATCAAGTGAATCCAACTCCAAAGAGAATACTAAGAAGCCTGGAGCCTCGAGTGAATCCAACTCCAAAGAAAATACCAAGAAGCCTGGAGTATCAAGTGAATCCAACTCCAATGAGAATACGAAAAAGCCTGGAGCATCAAGTGAGTCCAACTCCAAGGAGAATACCAAGAAGCCTGGAGCATCAAGTGAATCCAACTCCAAAGAGAATACCAAAAAGCCTGGAGCCTCGAGTGAATCTAAAGAATCCAAAGAACATCCTGGATCTTCAAGCAAATCCAAAGAACATTCAGGAGCTTTAAGTGCATCTAAAGAACATACAAGTAAGCCTAGAGCTTCAAGCGAATCAAAAAGTGAGGAATCTGGCCTTCTTTCAAGCGAGTCCTCGAGCCTTTCGGTAGAGGCTTCCGGATCAGTGTCAGTATCATTAGAACATTCATCAGAGTCGTCTGGACTTTCAGAGTCATTAGAAATTTCTGCTGAATCATCAGAATCAAATGAGAAAATACCAGTAGTATGCAGTTTACCCTGTAAAATTGGCTTCGTATGCAAAATACTGAAGAAAAAACCAGTATGTATTCCACGAGGATGCGTTTTTATTCGTTGCCGTCATGGCTTTGTATGCAGAATAATTAAGGGATTAGCAAAATGTGTTCAAAATGTTTGTGGCATAATACGTTGCCCATTTGGATTTGTATGCAGAATTATCAATGGAAAGCCATTATGTGTGCCATTCCTCTGTAATTTAATTCGTTGCCGTGTTGGCTTTAAATGCATACTTCTCAATGGAAGGCCAACATGTATTCCTAACTGCAAAAGCGAAGAAGTGACCAAGAAACCAAGACGTAGGTTCCAGCGTGAATTTTAAATTAATTTTTGATATTGTAGATTCAACAACCAAATTGTTCACTACTCGAAAACACACTACTGCTACACCAACACATTCTACCTCTACTCCAAAGCCAACAACTACACCACCCCCACAACCACCACCGACTACTACCTCTACTCAAAAACCCACAACTACACCATCAACCACAACTACTACAACTCCATCGACCACCACAACTACTACTCCATCAACCACAACTACCACTACTCCATCAACAACTACAACTAGACCATGTAATAAAAAATGTTATTATGGTAGTGTTTGTCAAATTATCAGTGGGCAACCAGAATGTGTTTCTCCAACCACAACTACTACACCACCAACAACCACTAACCCATGTGATAATATACAATGCGAAAATGGGTGCGTCTGCAAGATTGATAAGTATGGAAAACCACAATGCGTTGCAGTAGGAGGAGCTGCAGGTCCTTGAGGTAATTTTAAAGTTATTACCTCAAAATTAATTTTAAACTTTTAGATATGTAAATAACAAAATATGATAAGAATATAATAAGAAATATAAAGAATAATTAATTAAAAATGATTAATTTCTAATTTTGTGATATTTTATATAAAATATATAATTAATATGATACGAAATATACAAATTGATAAATTATATTGTACTAATAAAAATGTTGATTATTTATTTTATTTTTTTTTTTTTTGATTATTTATGTTGATTATTTATCATTATTTCCTAGGCGGTTAAATCAGGTACATGTTCAATACCTTCTAAACATAACATTAATAAAAAGCTTTATTCCTGGGGTAAAATGACAATATAGCGCATGAGTTGAAAATCTTGATGAGACTTGAAAAATAATTAATAACTTTAAAATCCTGATAACTGAAAAGCCATGAATGTGGATAGATAAATTAGTCAAAGATATCAGAAAAACAGGCATATTTTGGGATATTTAGCAAATATTCGGCAAATCTGGGATATTTTTAGGCATATTGTGAAAAATTTTCCATGTTTGCAATTTTATATTTAATATTGTTAAATTCTTTTGATTCTTATCAATTATTCTTTACATTTTGTTTAAATTCAACATTTTTTAATACATATCATAAAAGTCTATCCTTTAATTGGTATACGACTTTCTACTTGTACACACAATTTAATGTCAGTTTTATGAATTGTTTCAACTTAAATTATTTAAATTAAATCAAATTGAATTAACCTAATTCATTCAACTTATGTTAGTTGAATGAAGTGAGATTTTTTCCAAAAAACTCCTAATTCTTTTCTTGATGCTTCCAAAAGTGTGTGAAAAAGCTTTGAAAAAGCATGAGTCTTTGCTAAATAAATTAAATTCAAAAGATTTAAATTTTATCAATTTTAATGCATGATATAAGCGATTATCTAAGGCACTATGAAAAGCGAAGTATTTTGCTTGTACTTGTGGATTTTACTTATGGATAATTAATGTTTTCATAATATAAGTATAAAGTTTACAAGTTTGCATATTTTCCTTCTTTAAAGCTTTTGTGAATTTGTAATATTTGTTTAAAAACAACTTATGATCTAAAATCACACATTTGTACTTTAATTTTCTTCAAAATCAAAAGATTATTTTCAGTTGTTTTGAATATTTGACCTCAAATTCAAACAAAAAGCTAAAATAAACAAAAATATTTATATTTTATTTTTGATTATTGCTAAAAAACATGGACCTAAAATTAGAATAATTTATACAATCTGTTTGTTATTTCAAAAATCGAAAAATTTTGGTGCATTAAATTTGTATATATAAAAAGATTAATTTGATGCTAAAATTAAAAACAATATTTTATTCAAAATTAAATTACTACAAATCACTGAGTATTTGTAATTAATAAATACTGCTGTTCTCCTTAAGGAACAATGGTAAATAATTAAAGAATTCCATTCAAATTAATATTAGTTTGCGTATATTTTATGAATTAAGAGATAGCAAAGTTTGGCCAAGGACAGGACCAAGCCTCGACCCTTGAGAGTTTCATCACAGGTGATAACCCGTCTGAGATACCAATCTAGCAAACAAAGGACTTAACATAATTATAACCCCATCTTAAATTTTCGTGTTTTATTTTGAAATCACCACATCGGGCTGCTTTGACCGCATCGGGCTGCCAGAATCCAAAAAATCAACCCTCCCTTGAAATAGATAAAAAATTATCATTTAATTTAAACTTTAATTTTTTTAATTTCTTTAAGAAGCATTCTCAGATTATTCTGATTACTATACCTCTTTTTATGATTTTTTGTTACAAGGAATCCTACGCTCAAAGTAATTCCAATTTATGCATATTTTATCAAATCAAACAGTTTTAATATTAATTAGATGGTTTACTTCATAAATCAAAGAAAACACCTAAACCTACTATGAATCCTAATGAAAAGCAATCGAATGGAAATTCAAAGGAGTCCAAAGGACTTTCAATTGAGTTGAACGGAAAATCAAATGAATCAAAAGGAAAGTCAAACGAATCAAACGGGGAATCAAATGAAAAATCAGGATCTTTAGCCTCTTTGGAACTATCAGAAGAGTCCCTAGGACTTTTGGATGAGCAGGGACTTTTGTCAGAATTAGAGATTTCAGCTGAATCAACGGGTCTTTCATCAGAGGCTTCAGAAACTTCGTCAGCGTCACTTGAATTTCCATTGGAGGAGTCTGGACTTTTAGAGTCATTAGAGCTTTCTGGATCAACGGGTCTTTCATCAGAGGCTTCGGGAGCTTCGTCAGATTCACTGGAACTTTCTTCGGAGGAGTATGGACTTTCAGAGTCATTAGAGCTTTCAGCTGGATCAACTGGTCTTTCATCAGAGGCTTCGGCAGCTTCGTCAGATTCACTGGAACTTTCTTCGGAGGAGTATGGACTTTCAGAGTCATTAGAGCTTTCAGCTGGATCAACTGGTCTTTCATCAGAGGCTTCGGCAGCTTCGTCAGCTTCACTGGAACTTCCATCGCTGGAGTCAGGACTTTCAGAGTCATTAGAGCTTTCAGCTGGATCAACTGGTCTTTCATCAGAGGCTTCGGCAGCTTCGTCAGCTTCACTGGAACTTCCATCGCTGGAGTCAGGACTTTCAGAGTCATTAGAGCTTTCAGCTGGATCAACTGGTCTTTCATCAGAGGCTTCGGCAGCTTCGTCAGCTTCACTGGAACTTCTATCGGAAGAGTCTAGACTTTCAGAATCATTAGAGCTTTTAGCTGGATCAACGAGTCATTCATCAGAGGGTTCGGGATCTTCGTCAGATTCAATGGAACTTCTATCGACAGAGTCTAGACTTTCAGAATCATTAGAGCTTTTAGCTGGATCAACGGGTCATTCATCAGAGGGTTCGGGATCTTCGTCAGATTTATCGGAAATTCCGTCTGAATCTTTGATGCTTTCTATCGAAGCTACTGGAAATTCAAATGAGACAATAACAGTACTATGCAATTTAATCTGTAGAATCGGTTTTGTGTGCAAAATTGTCAACGGCAAACCAGCATGTGTTCCAAAAGGCTGCGCATTATTACGTTGTCGCCCTGGTTTTATCTGTAAATTTGTCAATGGATTACCTAAATGTGTGCCAATCTTATGCAAGTTAATCCGTTGTCCATTAGGATTTGTGTGCAAACTTATCCATGGGAGACCTCGATGTGTTCCTATTTTATGCATTTTAATACGATGCCGCTTCGGCTTTATATGCATAATTCTCAATGGAAAACCAACATGCATTCCCAAATGCAGACAAGAAGTAACTAAAAAACCAACAAGTAATTTTGATATTTTACAAATAAGCTAGCTTTAAACATATTATAGGTCCAACAAAAACAAGCACAACTCCAAAACATACTACATCGACCAAACATAAAACAACTACAACTCCTGTAACAACAAAAACTACTAAATCGACAAAATCAACGAAAACTACACTATCAACAATCACCACAACTCTATCAACCACAACTACACCTCCATTAACCACAACTACCCCTCCATCTACCACAACAACCCCTCCATCCACCACAACAACCACTCCATCAACCACAACTACCCCTCCATCTACCACAACAACCCCTCCATCTACCACAACAACCACTCCATCAACCACAACTACCCCTCCATCTACCACAACAACCCCTCCATCTACCACAACAACCACTCCATCTACCACAACAACCACTCCATCAACCACAACTACCCCTCCATCTACCACAACAACCCCTCCATCTACCACAACAACCACTCCATCAACCACAACTACCCCTCCATCTACCACAACAACCCCTCCATCTACCACAACAACCCCTCCATCTACCACAACAACCACTCCATCTACCACAACAACCCCTCCATCAACTACAACAACTTCTACATCAACCACAACAACCCCTCCATCTACTACAACAACTTCTACATCAACCACAACAACCCCTCCATCTACTACAACAACTTCTTCAACCACAACTACCCCTCCATCTCCGACAACTACACCTCCATTAACCACAACAACCTCTCCATCTACTACAACAACTTCTCCATCAACCACAACTACCCCTCCATCTACCACAACTACCCCTCCATCAACCACAACTACCCCTCCATCTACCACAACTACTACACCTTCAACTACTACTCCATCAACCACTACTACCACTCCTACAACTACATCAACGACCACCACTACCACCCCATCAACTACCACTACCACCCCATCAACTACCGCTCCTACCACAACTATTACTACATCAAAACGAACTAAGAACCCATCAACCACAACTACTACTTCAAAAAGATCTAAGACCCCATCAACCACAACTAGACCATGTAATAAAAAATGTCCTTATGGTAGTGTATGTCAAATTATCAATAAGAAACCACAATGCGTTTTTACTACTCAAACCAAAACTACTACACCATCAGCTACCAATAATTCATGTGATACTATGAAATGTCCTTCTAATTGTGAATGCCGGGTGGTTTATGGAAAACCACAATGCGTTGTAATAGCTTGATAAGATACAGTAAAACCTTTAGTTAATTTTAAAATTAATCACCTCGAAAAATTTAATTTAATATTTAGATATGTACATAATATACAGAAAATGATAAGAAAGAATATTACAGAAATATAAATATGTATAAGAAATATAAATATAAATTTTGAGCAAGTCACTAATTTTGTGATATTTTATACATATGAAATATATAATTAATATACTTCGAGATATATATTTATAAATTACGTATATTGTATGAATATTTTTAATTATATAGTGAGCTGATCTTTAAGTTAAGATTTAATCATTATTTCCTATGTGGTGAGATCACGTTACTTGCAATATTTTTAACACGAGAGTTCAACAAAGTAAATAAAAATAATTCTTAGTGTCACAAGAATATATTTTAACATAGAATAGGATAAGTTTCATACAAGAAAGTTTAGAGATGTACTTGATTTGAAATTGTGAGAGAATAAATTAAATTATTTTTAACCTTTGATAAAGCTATATTTTTGTAGATATTTTAAGAAATTTTGGTTATTTATGCACATAATATGCCAGATATCATGGCTGGCTCAAGTGACACAAAATACAAGACACGAGATTCACTAGTTACGAGATTCTAGAAAAATACGAGAACGAGATAAAACGAGATACGCTCTCAAAAAATAAGAGATTTCACAAGGTACGAGACACGGTATACGAGACTAACGTACCAATGATGAGTATGCTTTGAAACATTAATATAGTCATAAGATTTGGTGGATATTGGTGGATTAGGTGATATCAGTGGATTTGGAGGATATATGTGATATAGGGTATTCGGAGACTATATTTCATAGAGGATTAAGGGAGATATCGGTAGATCTGGTGTGATATCAGGATTCAAAGTGTGTAAGATTATTTTGGGGTAATTAAAATTCGAAGAATGTTTTAATCAGAATTAAAAGTTAAATAAGACTTTAAGAGCTAGATTTGAGACAAAAACATAACAGGAAACAAGAGATGTCCTTCCAAAGCTACTATATCGCCCATAATCCTCCGATATCCTCTCCAAATCCGCAGATATTTGGTGATTAATAGGGATATCGAGAGCTTCTGCTCCGGCTGAAGATCAATGAATAATGTTTTTAGGAAGTTAGGTGGAGTATTTAAGATATCGAGCAACGTTAGTATAATACATTCTGTAAGAAAATGATATACATAATTAAAGTTAAATGATCTAATTAATTAAAAATAATTGAAATATTAATTAAAATTAATTAAAAATCAGTGATAAATTAAATATGTATGTAAGGAAAATAAATGAAATTTTACTAAAACGACCTCAAATCAACGTTTCATATAAGCTTGTAAGTCTGCAAATTTTCCTTCCCTATAAGCTTTGTGATATTTATTATTTGGCCGATTGAAAATAACAACATATGATCTAAAATCGCACTTCCTGTTTATATTATTCTTTAACTTTACTCAAAATCAAAAAATTATTTTCAGTTGTTTTGAATGTTTAAACAAAAAATTTTGCATAAATTTGAAATTAAAGTTAATAAAAACAAAAATATTTATATTTTATTTTCGATTATTGTCAAGAAAACATGCACCTAAATTGAAAAAATTAATCTGTTTATCATTGAAAAATCGAAAATTTGGTGCATAATTTGGGTATATAAAACGAAAGGGTTGGGGCCATAATCAAAACCAATATTTTATATAAAATTCTATAATTATCACAAATATTACTAATCAGTAAGTACTGTTGTCCTCTTCGTAAGGAACAATGGTAATTTATTCAAAAATTTTATTTAAAATAATACTCGTACTTTCGTACAGGCCTTGTGTTACCTCGTACTCGTACTTTTAAATATTTTTGCTCGTACAGTACAAAGGTACGAGTCGAATTTAAGTACGAGCCTCCAAACACCGGTGATAGCCAGATTGGGCTACCAAGTTTCATAGCTATTTTCTTTCTACCATATACATAGATCTTAAGTCTTCAGCTAGGCGTTTTAAATCTAGAAAGTAGACCCCATCCTGACAGTATATATCTTATTGTGTATTTCATTTTTTTTCAATTTCAAATTTCTTTAAGAAGCATTCACAATTGATTCTGATTGCTATAGCCCTTTTTATGATTGCATGTTACAAGGAATCCTTCGCTCAAAGTAATAGCGATCTTGTATTTAACTAATTTTAATATTAATTAGATGATTTACTTCCTAAACCTATAAAGCCGCCTAAACCTACGAAGAACCCTAATGAAAAAGAAACGACTGGAAATTCTAAGGAATCAGAGGGACTTTCAATTGAGCTGAATGGAAAATCAAATGAGTCAGAAGGACTACTTTCAGTTGAGCTGAATGGAAAATCAAATGAGTCAGAGGGACTTTCATTAGAGCTGGAACTTTCGGATGAGCTTGGACTTTCGACGGAACTAGATCTTTCAGCAGGAGCGTCAGGTCTTTCAGCAGAGGCCTCGGGAATTTTGTCAGCTTCACTGGAACTTCCATCGGAAACGTCTGGACTTTCAGAGTCGTTGGAAATTTTAGCTGAATCATCGAGTCTTTCAGTAGAGGCTTCCGGACCTGTGTCAGCATCATTAGAACTTTCAGTTGAGTCATTGGAGCTTTTTAATGAAACCGAAGTAGTTTTAAATGAGACGGGAATTGTACTGCCGCCAGTACTATGTATGTTATTAAAAATACAGAGATAAATATGATCTAAACATTTTTTAAGTTTGTTGTAACCCACTTGGACCTTGCCTATTATGCCCTCTCGGACAACACTGCATTGGAATCCCAGGAGCAAAACATTGTGTTCCATTAGTATGCGATTTATTCTGTAAAATTGGCTTCGTATGCAAAATACTGAATGGAAAACCTGCATGTGTTCCAATTGCATGTAACTTAATACCTTGCCGGATCGGTTTTATTTGTAAAATTGTCATTGGAAAGCCGCAATGTGTCAGAATTATTTGCAATTTGCTGTGTAAAGTTGGCTTCGTATGCAAGATATTGAATGGAAACCCAGCATGTGTTCCAAGAGGATGCGCTTTTACACGTTGCCGATTCGGTTTTGAATGCAAAATAATTAATGGATTGCCAAAATGTGTTCCAATCTTATGCAACTTAATCCGTTGCCCGTTAGGATTTGTATGCAGACTTGTGAATGGAAGACCAAAATGTGTCAGAATTATTTGCAACTTATTCTGCAGAATCGGTTTTATATGCAAAATAGTCAAAGGCAAGCCAGCTTGTGTTCCAAACGTATGTAGCTTAATACGCTGCCGTATCGGATTCGTCTGTAAAATAATAAATGGAAAGCCTCAATGTGTCCGAATCGTTTGCAATCTTCTATGCAAGGTTGGCTTTGTATGCAAGATACTGAATGGAAAACCAGCATGTGTTCCTAAAGTTTGCAACTTAGTTTGCCGCGTTGGGTTTGTCTGCAAACTTATTATTGGATTGCCTAAATGTGTGCCGAATGTGTGCGGCTTACTGCCTTGCCCATTAGGATTTGTGTGTAAAATAGTCAACAGAAGACCAAAATGTGTCCGGATTATTTGCAACTTATTCTGCAAAATCGGTTTTGTGTGCAAAATATTGAATGGAAAACCAGCATGTGTTCCAAGAGGATGTGCCTTAATACGTTGCCGCATTGGTTTTATATGCAAAATCATCAATGGATTGCCAAAATGTGTGCCAATCTTATGCAAAATTCGTTGTCCATTAGGATTTGTGTGCAAACTTATCCATGGAAGACCTAGATGTGTTCCAATTTTATGCAGTTTAATAAGATGCCGCTTCGGCTTTATATGCATAATTCTCAATGGAAAACCTACATGTATTCCTAAATGCAGACAGGAAGTAACTAAGAAACCAACACGTAATTTTGAATATATTTACGAATAATCTACTATAATTATTTTATAGGTCCATCAAAAAGAACCACAACTCCAAAACATACATCTATTAAACCTCATACAACTACTACACCTGTATCAACGAAAACTACTAAACCGTCAACATCTACTACCCCTCCGTCTACCACAACTACCCCTCCGTCTAACACAACTACTTCTCCTTCTACCACAACTACTCCTCCATCTACGACAACTACTCCGCCATCTACCACAACTACTCCGCCATCTACCACAACTACTCCTCCATCTACCACAACTACTCCGCCATCTACCACAACTACTCCTCCATCTACCACAACTACCCCTCCGTCTACCACAACTACTCCTTCTACCACAACTACTCCTCCATCTACCACAACTACTCCGCCATCTACCACAACTACCCCTCCATCTACCACAACTACTCCTTCTACCACAACTACTCCTCCATCTACCACAACTACTCCGCCATCTACCACAACTACCCCTCCATCTACCACAACAACACCTCCATCCACTACTACAACTCCTCTATCTACTACAACTACCCCTTCATCAACCACAACAACTACAACATCGACCACATCTACTACCACATCCACCACAACCAAACCATGCACTAAAAAGTGTAATTATGGTTATGTATGCCAATTTGACAGCTATGGGAAACAACAATGCGTTGTTAGCCCATGGTAAAATTAAAGGTACCTAATTTGACTTTATTTATACTTGTTTCATAATATTCTTTAAATTTAGATATGTGCAGATACACAAAAAATTATTGGATGAATTATTAAATTAAAAACACTAGAAATTGGAGATATTCAAGATAAAAATAATTATTTATGTTAAATACTATGTAAATACTACATATATCTCCATGATAAAATTATTAAATAAAGTACTAATTTCATAATAGGCAAATCTCTTCTTGACCTTTAGGAAGGATCGGTTGGTCGTAAAATTTAAAAAATAGCAGCTGATTTTATTTATATGATCGAAATAATAATTTACATAATTTATAAAAATGCGTAAGATAAACAATAATATTTACTTTTAAATTTGAGCGATGTTAAACAATACAAAAGACAAAAACATCAAATATTAATAACTATTTTGATAAAAATAATAATTTTAAAAATAATTCTAAAATAATTTATATTTAATTAAATAATGAGGATAATTATATTAATTATTCCTCTCGAGCTTTTCCTGTTTTTACACTTGAAAGGATCATCGTCAGAAAGTAACCTGAAACTTTTAAAGCCAATTCAGCTTTAATCTAATTTAAAGCACCTCCTGCAGAGGTGTAGGTATTTTTTGGTAATACCGCGGTTTTACCGTATTTTCAGTATCAAAACCCCGAAAATCACGATTTTTATAAAAATATCCAGATCGAGACTAACAGATCCTGAAAATCCGGTTCGGGATCCGGTACGGTTCGAACTCAATCAAATACGAATTTGAATAATGTTTACATGTATGTCGGCGTCAAATTTCAAATTTGCCGTCAAATTTCAATTTTATCAAATTTATATATTATGTAAGTATAATAAACACAAAGCAATACAATTATCTCTCTTATATGTTCACTCAATTTTACTGATTAGAATGTTGAACAAGCATCTGAACCATTTCTTGAAACTTTTCTTTAGTTTCATCATCTGGAGCATCATCTACTCCTTGTTTAGCTATATCCAAAGCGTTTTTGCCTTCATTGTTGGTTTGGTTAACGGATGCTCCTTTTGATAACAACAACTAGAAAATAGTTTGGATTGTTAAGAATCGAATAGTTTGAAATAAAATTGAAATTAATTGTTTTATTTGCAACTCCAATGGGTAAAGAATTCGGGTACACCCAACGGCCGCAGAGCTATAACTTCGTTCAAGATTGTCGAATCCGACCGCCTTGCTATGGTCAGATTCAGCTCGACGTGTTGTATCGAACCATACAAGGGCGTCCCAGATTCGATAATTTTGAAAGAAGTTATAGCTCTGCGGTACGTTGGGCTCGCGGTACGTTGGCCTGCTCCGAAAAATTCAAAGTATATCAGTGTTATCTCCAAGGATTTACTGGGTGGAAAATTAATGAGTATAATTGGGGATTTCTTGCTTTGACATAACCTATACCAAAGTTCCAAGGGATAAGTAAGATTTTGGTTTGAGATTCAAGACATCCCCAATATGGATCCTTTGGGCTGATAAAAGTTTTAGTGAGGAGTGCCTAAGGACTTCCTAACCAGAAACCGTTTTATTCCTCAAACCTTAACAATTTCTGTAAGCCCGGCCATAATAGCCATTTGTAGAGGTGTTGTTCCATTTTTCTCGTCTTTTTCGTTAACATCAGCCCCACCCGAAATTGAATTTAGAATGCTTCCAAAGTCACCCCCTTGGACTGCACCAGCTAATTGTTGAAGCAATCCCTAATGATTTTTGTCATTTTATCAAATTTTTAAAATTTTTTTTACATTTCCTGCGCCACTCGAAAGAAGTGATTCAAAAAGCTGCCCAGCGTTGAACATTTTTGAAGATGAAAATTAAAGAGAATTGACTAAAATTATTTTATGAAAAATTTGTTTAAGCAGGATTATTAGGCGATTAAAGAGAGAGAGACGGAGGTGGAACAGAAAGACCGAGGAGGAACAAAAATTTTAGAAAATTGATATTTAGAAACAATTATCAAAAAGATTAAGGATCTGCCAAGAGGACTCATTGAGTTTTATCATTAAAAAATCCAACCCGATCAGTAGTCTCTAATACATTCAAAGGAGTATCTAAAGACATATCTAAGACATTCAAAAGAGTCTTTTGGCTACATCCTATTTGAATATCACCCTATTTTTATGAAACTTTGGTTTAAACTTGTGTTTCATCAAGGTATTAAGATATTGTTAAAGGGAAACACGCCCATGTAGGTGCGAGGCCAAGTAGACGCAAAGCCATAACTAGCTGGAAAATTTCTGGCACTTACCAATTTTAGTACCAATCTCTTTGACTCGATGTGAGGAATCGTTCAATACTACATAGAATTGATAAGATTCGGAAATCTTGAAGCAGGTTTTGCACCTACGTGGGCGTGCGCCTACTTGGGCTGTACCCTCTTTGAATATCACCCTATTTTTATGAAACATTGGCTTATAGCTGTGATTCATCAAGGCTTTAAGATATATTTTGAGGGGGTTTCTTATCTTCAGTTAAAAATGGTTGTTTAAAAAATGATCTTTAAACTTTTGAGAAAATGTTCAAAAACGAAATTTGAGAATACTTTTAAAAATAATTATGAGCAATGTATACTTACATAACCATGAGTAATATTTTGAGTATTTTTGCTTTAAAAATAAAGCTTTTCGTAAAACATAAAAGCATTTTTAAGCTTTAGTCTTTTCAAAATCAATAGGAAAATAAAATAATAGCCAGCTGGTGAAACCTTGTTCTATTTAATATTTAAAGTATTCCGCATGAAAATAGGTCAAGCATTACCAGCGGAGGGCTGAGGGAGATACTTAAAAAAATTTTTTAAATAAAAATTCAAACAATTATTTATTGAAAATACAACATTAATAAGTTGTAATAAAATTTAAAAAAATTAAAAAGAATAAATTTGAAAGGCAATCTCGAGTGAATTCAAAGGAAAGGAAAACCGGTTTTTTAAATTTTTAATTAAAATTAAAGATTGATTAAAAATTTTGTCATAAACAAAAAAAATTTAAAAAACATTGAAATTAAAAATTAATTTTCAATAAAAAAATTAAATTAAAATAAAATTAAACTGAAAATTTCAAGTATCCGTTCACTCAATTTACAGTAATCCCTCGTTCAAATGCCCCTCTTAAATATCAAGCAAAATTTCTATTTTATATCTCTTCAGGAATTAATTTTAAAATTAAATAAATTTAAATTAACATTTAAATTAAAAATTAGTTTTTAATAATATATTAAAATAAAAATGAAAAAACAGCAGAAATATCTGTCTGGATACAACCCGAATAGTCGCGCGGCAATAAGGTCGTCATAACTTGCAAAAAATTTCTGCCCTTAACAATTTTGGTACCAATCTCTTTAGCTCGATGAGAGGAATCGTTTAATACTAAATTTGAAAAGATTCGGAAAGCATGTGAGGAGATGCACACACATGCTCTCACACAGCATGTGAGGAGATGCCTGGCATTTAATCAGTTGCCATTGAAGTTGTTAAGGCGTGAGAAGGAGGAGGGAGATAGGGAGGGAAAATGCGAGGAAGGGAGGGAAAGAGGGATGAACGAGGATATACATAGAGTATGGTGGAAGGGTAATGGAGGGCTGGGAAGAGGGAGTGAAGTTGTAAGGAAGTGTTAGAGAGAGAGGGAAGTGTGAAAGAGGGATGAGCGGGGATATACATAGAGTAGGGTGAATGGGTAATGAAGAGCTGGGAAGAGAGTGTGAATTTGTAAGGAAGTGTTAGAGAGAGAGGGAAGTGTTAGAGAGAGAGAGGTTTTTAATGCTTTAAGCAGCTAGCTATGTCAATTATTCGTCAATAAAAAATTTTTTTATTTTGTGTCCGCGCCCGGCGTGGGAGTAGAGAAGGAATTTTTGGCAGGGCACCAGCTACTTTGAGGAGGAAGGTGGGGGTGGGAGCGAGGGAAGGGGAGTGATGTGAGCGGGGAGAGAGAAGGAGGGAGAATTTAGATAACTTTTTTCACCCCCCTCCCTCCCTCCCTCCCACTCCCTCCTCCATCTCCCTCTCCCTCCTCCCTCTACACGACCCTTATTCTTGACAGTCAATTCCCCATCTATTTTAAAAATTTATTTAGAATTTTAAATTTTCATAGAGAATTATTTGTCAATTTATTTTTAATAATAAATTAAAATTTATTATAGCAATTTTTATAAAGTTGAGTTAACAAAATGAGGAAGTTTGTCAATATATTTTGTTTATTATTGCTAATTTTAATTCTCAAAAGAAAATCACAGGTTGAGGCTAAAGGTAGTTGATAAATAGTTTTTATCGCAATAAACCCTCCTAAGCTCTATTTATTAATGAAATAGGGTCACTAATTTAGCAAAGGGCTCTAGATTAGGAAATACGGTATAAAATATTACGAAAATTCAAAATTTTTTGGGAGTAACGCTTAATAACTTCACTACTCATTGATAAACAAATTTAAATAACCTTAACTCTATGCTGATCTATTGGGGTTATCTTAATTGAAGGGACCTGGAAAGAGTTAATTATGAGAGAAAGAAGGAGAGAAAAGTCCTTCTCTACACGACCCTCATTCCTGACAGGAGATAAAGGAGCAGGGGCTAGCTGACATAAAAAACTTCCGATTTCGGAATATGGTCAACTAGAAGCATTAATAGGGAGAGATATGTAGCTAAGTGAATATTAATCGTACTTTAGAACAACTTATCCTCCTTGGAATACTTAAAGTTTTAATAATTTTTAAAAAAATTTCCTAATATACAGATAATTTGGACTAACCGCATACAACTACTACACCTGTATCAACAAAAACAACTAAACCGTCAACATCTACTACTCCTCAATCAACGAAAACTACTACCACAACTTCTCCTCCATCAACCACAACTACCCCTCCATCAACCACAACAACTCCTCCATCCACTACTACTACTACCCCATCAACCACAACTACTCCTCCATCTACCACAACTACACCTCCATCTACTACAACTACCCCTCCGTCTACCACAACTACCCCTCCGTCTACCACAACTATTCCTCCTTCTACCACAACTACTCCTCCATCTACGACAACTACCCCTCCATCAACCACAACTACCCCTCCATCAACCACAACTACTCCTCCATCCACTACTACAACTCCTCCATCTACCACAACCACACCTCCATCAACCACAACAACTACAACATCGACCTCAACTACTCCTCCATCTACCACAACTACTCCGCCATCTACCACAACTACCCCTCCATCTACCACAACATCTACAACATCGACCACAACTACTACCACATCCACCACAACCAAACCATGCACTAAGAAGTGTAATTATGGTTATGTATGCCAATTTGACAGCTATGGGAAACAACAATGCGTTGTTAGCCCATGGTAAAATTAAAGGTACCTAATTTGACTTTATTTATTTGTTTCATGATATTCTTTAAATTTAGATATGTGCAGATACATACAGCAAATAAATCATTGGAAGAATTATTAAATTAAAAACAAATAATCGAGATAATCTTATTCAAGACAAAAATGATTATTTATGTTAAATACTATGTACATACTATATCTCCTTGATAAAATTATTACTTAAAGTATTAATTTCATAATAGGCAAATCTCTTTCTTGACCTTAAGGAAGGATCGGTTGGTATCATATAATTTTTTCTTGCTAGTATTGGGAGCATATTAGGAGCCTCAACATTTGATAAATTTATATGTCAAAATTTCTTCAAGGTGTTTAGTATCATTTGAAACTCATAAAATTTTGGAACAAATCCAACTATTATAAACGTGGCCTCAAAAATATACGTTATATGCACGGAAAATGCCAAAATATAACAACAAATTTCTCAAACAATGCCATAATGTGTATAAATCTCAGTGAAAATATTCAAAATATGGAAAAAAGTATAGATATGCAAATATGCACGGACGTAAATAAATTGCAAAAACGTAGGATATTAAGGGATTTGTGAGGATATAGGAGATCATGAGGATTAAATAGATCAATAGATGATATAATTATAAAGGATAAACATTTGGAGAGTATAAGAGGATTAAGGGAATATCAGTGGATATATGTATAGATTATCGTGCATACCGGGAATCTGGGCTCCTTATATGAAGCCTCCACATTTTAAATCCCTATTTCATATGTAGCTTATTTTACCAAGACATATCCCCACTTACAATACATGCATTTGCATGTTTTGTGATTCCCTGATCATAAAATTTAAAAAAGAGCAGCTGATTTTATTTATATGATTGAAATAATAATTTACATAATTTATAAAAATGCGTATGATAAACAATAATATTTACCTATTTTTAAATTTGAGCAACCCTAAACAATACAAAAAACAAAAACATCAAATAATAATAACTATTTTGATAAATAATATAATAATTCAAAAAATAATTTTAAAATAATTTATATTTATTCTATTAAATAATGAGAGTAATTATATTAATTATTCCTTTTGAGCTTTACCTATTTTTACTCTTGAAAGTATCATTGATAGAATGTAATATATTACTTAAATTATTTTTAATATTAGCATATTTGCAGCGCTTCCTGCAGATCTTTGCGCTGGTAAACGTTGTCCAAACGGTTTTGCTTGCACAATATTAATAAACACAAACGGAGATAGATGGGGATCATGCCAGCCTAACAGTCAGTTAGCTTATTTTCATTGAAAATTGTAGTTGTTAAATAATTAAGAACCTCCTGAATCGCTTCATAGCGAATAGAAGGAACCATTCGTAGTGCTAATTATAAAGAATAATGAGTGTGTTAATGAACAATATGTTAGTGAAAATTCCAATTGAGCGAGCTGAAACGCGACAAATCGAGCGAACTGAGTCTATTTAGCTTGAAAGTGGCTTGTATAACTCGATTCGAAAAAACCAAACTCGTAAAAATTGAAAACGGCTCACTCGCAAAATTCTAAGATAAATCATAAAAACATAAGATTCCTAAGCTATTTCAGAGATAAATTTTAGCGATATTTTTAGCTATGGATAAATTGACTTAATATTTACTAAAACAGTTACCCTAAATTGTGGAGAAGGAGAAGTAGAAGCACATTCATGCCTCTCATGTGAAGCTACCTGTACTGTTAAAACCCCAACTTGTCCAGCATATTGTTCTACAATGGTCAAAAGGTGTTTGTGTAAACCAGACTATGTCAGGGTTAATGAATCTAGATGCATTCCGATTACTTTTTGCCCTCCTCCAATACGTAAGAATATGTTTATCTATTAAAATCTCTTACAATCTTTCAAGCTTGTTGTGATTCAAATAATACATGCAAAATTTGTGAGCTGGGTACAATATGCGGAACTATAATAGGACTACTTAAAGCTGGATGTATTACAGTAACTTCAATACTAGAGTTAGAAATATGAAAAATGCCGGATCCCGTTTCGGGATTTCAAAAACTAAACCAGAATCCGACCCCCTATCACAACAGGCTTGAAAGATTTTAAGAAATTTTCATATCAAAAATCA